GATACGTAGGCAGAGATTTAAGGAAGTGTTCTATCCCTCAGCAGGGATGTTTTTATTTTATTTTGACCTAATAAGCTACTAAAGATACAGTGCAGACAACTTCCTTTCTTAGTATATATTTGTGCCTGAAGGTCAGAAATACTGTATCTTCGTCATTTACAATGTGACATGATTGGTTTATTAATTGTTCCATTTAGATTCTCTTAGATAAGTAGTGATTGCATTGTGGGGTTTACAGTTGCTGCACCTTAAGAAGCAGTGAGTTTCTTAAGGCCAGCAGCAATTTAACTGTGAAAATAGTAAGGGGTTGAGTTATGAAACTAACCATGCTGCACTGATAAATTTATTTTAAACTGTTCCTTTGTTTATATAGTGTCATTTTCCCCAAAGGAGGCTAAAATGTACTATATTCCTTGGCATTGTCAAGAGCTGTGTTAGATCTTGATTCCCTCATGGAAAGAGCGTGTCTGTTAAAGGAACCTACAGTAAAGCAAAGTCCCCTCTCAAATAGGACCAGGCCTAACAGTGAAAATCTCAATGACTAGGTATGTCAATCTCAATGAGTAGGTTTTCCCACTTCCTCAAGCTAACAGAGACCTTTGATTTTGCTCCTGCGGAGGTAACATCATGGACGAAGGCTCTTCCTTCTGGTTGACTTCCAATGTGCTGTGCATGTTACTGGTAGTAAATCTATTATCTGGAGGAGTTTTGCCCCACTGTGTATAACCTCTATATAGAAAAAATCATGTAGTGGTTTTCTCTGATACATATATGTATGCATGCAGACATTTTTCCCTGGCCCTGTATAAGGAGGAAGAATAGCTGTTTAACATTGTCCCATAATATTAGACAGTTCTGTAGGACAGGAAAGGAAGACAAGGTGATAGTAAATCATTTTGAACAGGCCTCTGTTGGCTTTTGGTATGTCCTAAAAGCAACACGAAGACCTATCATTCTTTATTAATGATGATAATCTAATCCAGATGGCAGAGGGATTCCAGACAGGCAAAAACTGCATAATATCATTGGAATTTTGGTCAGAAAATTCAGTTAGCATCTCTACTTTTGCAAAAATATTATGAGAACTTTTATGAACACAAGCTCTCAAGACTTACATTTGTGTTCCATTCAAATGAAGTTACTGCCAGTAGTTCAGCGCCCATAATCAGTCACCATGAGCCAGGTTTCCAGGTTGTTGTAAGGGGTGAAATAGAACAAACCACTGAGAGAGAGAAAAAAATTCCTCTCTTGGTACAAAATGAAATCTAGCCTGGGGCATGCCGTCAGCAGGTTCTGTCCTGGTTCTGGACCATGCTGTCATCACCGCGAGATCCCAGCCCTGGAGCAGTTCCCCGCCCAACTGGGTGCCCTACCAGGACTTACGGGGCTGGTCTCCATTGAAATCCTGGTCCTGCACTGTCAGAGCTCCACCACTGCTGGGGTCTCCATGGGAATGGAGTCTGCTACAGTCCCAATTCGGCCCACGGGCCAGGCTTTGACCACCCCTTGGCTAGATTCCCTCCGGTAGTTAGATCTGCTTAGTGTGGGAGCTGACAGTACTCAAGCTATTGGTTATGGTTTCCCACTTGTAAAACTGTCTTTCTCTGCACCTGTCTTTCTATACTGGAGTCAAGGAAGTTGTTGCAAGTGTCTATTCAAATGACTCTGTATCAGCCAACAGCTCCCCTCTCTCACTGGGGGAGTTCTCAGCTGGACAGGTTCCAGATCTCAGGCAAGAATATATTCCAATGAGTTACATTTTCAAATCGGCCTCATCTAGGCTTCTCTTGCATTCAGTTTATGGATGATTTTCAATAAGAAAACATAGGCACAAATAATTTTGCATGCAATTTTAGAAAATGTGTCCTGTTAAATCTATTTACAGTAAACACATTAGTTATATTAAAAGTGTGATTAACCACAAGAATGAATGTGCCCTCATAAATGCCAAAACGGTTATTTCTGGTAATTTGTTCCACTCTGCTGATTTGAACTCCTTTTTTTCTAATAATTTATGCTGTATTTTACAACACAGACATGACATATTGCTTATTTCTAGGGCAGTTAGATATAATTTATTTCAATAGATGCCATGTTCAATTTTCTTTAGTAAAAGTATAGTAACATAGTCAGAAATATGGTTTATATTTTGAGGGGATAACAATGTATTTGGCAAGCCCCAGGCAAAAATCTTCTAACTTCTACCTTGTTTTGTTTTTGAAAGCTTTTAAAAAAAATTATTTCCCTTTGTATGTGAAGTTAATGTAACTATATAATACATTGTTCAGAATAATAATCTAAATTGGCTCCTCTCAAACACTGTTTGTTAGGTCAACATTATACTTTAAATATTACTTTAATTGCTTTGCATTTTCATACTAATAGATTTGTTTAGTGTTTTTAATACTTTTTCATATTTTCATGAAACAAAGTTCATAAATCACAGAAAAAGTTGTCCTTTTTGAATTGGCCTGATGAGTTGTGTGAGTCTTGTTAGATTGCCTCTCTAGTTAATTTAGCTCCATTTCCCCAGTTGTGGTGCCTAAGGGAATCAAGTATAGACATTCCCAACACATTCAATTTATGCTAAAAGAGTTTACACTAAACATATTCTTGCTTCCCTGACACAGTGATACAAGAGACATATCTGTCAGTTGACGCTTTCCATTATATCTTTATTAAAAACAAATATATTCCTCTTTAAATTTTCATCTATATTCTTGTACTCAAGAAGCATAAGCTTCGTGACTAGCTACAATGTGGCTGAAAGGGCAGAGACCATAATAAAACAGCTCTAGCTTGGTTTCTGTTGAACACTTGTGCACACAGGTTTCTCCCAACCTCACCCCAAGGCTTTGGGAGGGGTCAGACATTGTGAACTAGGCATTTGTATCCATCCAGAGCTGAAAGCTAGTTTTGTTTGGTAGTTTCCATGCCATAGCAAATTTGCACCTTGTTTCCAGCCATCCGTCTGACCCATCTCATCTGAGTCAACACCACTTCTCTCAAATAAAATGAATGTGGGAAAGGAAGAATAGTTAAAAATCAGACACTACAACAGCAAGGTTCAAAACAGCAGGTGAAATAAGTGTTGCTGAGCCCAGAATGGATGTTGGTCTGCTGATTTTTGTATGTTTGCTTTAATTGCTCAGCAAATCATTGTGCAACATAAGTGTTCATTTTTAATGTCAGTTTTGTTGAGGAGTCTAAAGTGTGGAGATTTAGAATTGCCAGTTGGTACAGACTGCCCTTACGTGACTGACTAATATTTATCTACTCAGTTAAAAGCATTTAGGCTTGGTCTTAACTGCATACATAATAAAGATGAGTTCCAAAGACGTGTAGTTGTTGTGTTGAATCTTGCACCATGGAAGTGATGTGTCATGTTTGTGTCAGAATGTTACAACAATGAACTGGAAATGACCTGCAATAAAGCCAAAACTGAACAAAAATTAGCAGAGTGGTGTAATGAATACATACAAAAGATGAAACATAACTAGTCCCCTAATGAAACAAACATATGGCTTTGGTATTGTGTGCATTTTATGTGGATTGTATTGTAACACAATGTGCAAAAGATGCCTATTTGGCCAGGTAGCTATGTAAAAATATATCTTTGTTTCTGTCAAATTGATTGGATTTTAGATAAGATCAGGAACAGTGCTGGAAGTAAGCTGTCAGTTTCCATTAGTTTAATCTAAATTATAAACACAGCAGACACTTGGAACAGCACAAGCAGAGATAAATGAATGCAGGGGTTTTTTTTGCTTTTCCCCCTTGCTTTTCAAAGATAATATCAGTTTTTTAGCTTCTTTCCTGTATGTTTATTATCTCTATATTGATGGATTGACTCTTAATTAGTTTTGGTTTAGAGAAAAATGAGGTAAGTGGCTCACGTTTTGCAGTAAAGTGAATAGTTCTGTTGTTGCTCATGTATACTGTAATGATGACAAGTAAAAGCCTTAATTTATAGGCTCTAGTTCTTTATGCACAAAACAGGTACACAAAACTGGAATATAAGCTTTCCTGCACAGCTGTATGGCTTTAAAGATACCGTTGCATCTCAGGCATGGCTGGAAAGGAACACCTATAGTTTTGGAATAGGGAAGTCCAGTCTTCACGTTCCTTCCATTGTAAATATTGGGGCTGAAGCTGACAACCTGTATATCATCTGGGACTTGATCAGAATTCCCAATAACAAATCATCACATCAAAATTCCTACTTCATTAGGGCTTTTTTCCCTCTTGTCCATCCGTTCATCTTCATGGATGTCTTCATATCTAAAGCTAAATGCTAAATATATTTCCACTGATTACTACTTCAGAAATTAAAAATTACCAGGGATTGTTCATGAAAATTAAGCATAAGCTATATTTCTTGTGTGATACCTAGATAAAAAAAAATAATAAAAAGAGAGAAGGAAAGAAAAAGGAGAAATTTAAAGAAGAACTCTTATTTTGCTGTTTTCCACTTTCATTAGTAGATAACTTCATTTAACTAATCGTGGCCACATCTGTTTTAACACAATAATTCAGCTGCATTAGAGCATTCCTGAGACATTGTAAGTTTTAATTTAATGGAAGAGTTGGAGGAGATGTATTTATCCAAGGAAATTATATTTTTAAGTACGCTCAGTTATGCACGTAGTAAGTCTGGTTACCTCTATAAGCTGCATATGCTTCTAAGATCCAAGGGTTTTTATGTGCTTTCTCTGCCTCATTACTGCCATGAAAATCAGTAGTGCTCTAAAATAATATAATTAAAAGATCTATAACATCATAAGCCTGCTAATTTTTCTAGCAAATTGTCTATTGCTGGAATTTATGTGCATACTGTTTTTAAAATACAATTTGATATGTATTTGCAAATCGTCTCTCTCTCTCTCTCTCTCTCTCTCCCTCTCTCCACAAACTGAGTACTTACTTATCTGTATTATCCTCCTCTAAATATATTCATTTGTTCTAATGAGACCACTGATTTTTCTGTTATCTTTCCACAGAAGCAGGTGGGAAGAAACTGCGGAGCACAGTTCAGAGAAGCACAGAAACTGGACTGGCTGTGGAGATGAGAAACTGGATGACTCGTCAGGCCAGCCGGGAATCCACAGATGGCAGCATGAATAGCTACAGCTCTGAAGGAAAGTAAGAAAGATTGCTACTTATATAATCTTCTCTCTTGTTTCTCCGCCAAATTGCTCTTGATAAAAGTTGCGAGTTAAATCTTAAAGTACCTCCATGGGTAAATTCCTATTTTAAACTCTTTTGCCATAGAGTTTTCCCTGAATAAAACAGTGCATGGAGGGAACTGCTCACTGCCTAGGTAGGAAGGTGCCCACTATGTAGGTAGAAAGTTCTAATCAATTGTCCACAAAAAAGATTTTTTTTAAACTATTATTGGCCAAATGGTTTCTGTGAAATTTTTTACCTGTAGCTATTTAAAAGCAATTTCTGGCTTTGTGCTTGAAATGTGAGTTGTTTCCCAAGCCTCATAGTGAGATTTCAGATTCAAATACCCATGACTGATATTGATCTGCAGGTGCTTCCTCTGCCTGACAAAGGGTAATTGTACCCAAAAGCTTGTAAAGAAGATTTTTTCCAACTATTTGAGTTGGTCTAATAAAAGATATTGGATTTACCCAAAGAATCTCATGTGCTTATGTCCTTAGACCAACATGGCTACAACCTACACCCATGACTGATATTTAAATTTGTTTCTATTAATATTGTGCAAGATTCAGTGACAGTTCACTGTTTCATAAATCATTGGATCATTAGCACTCACTTGCTTGAATACAGTTAGAAAGGAAACAGAATAACTTTCCTTAGAAATGTGAATAGTATTTGTTGAAAACTTTCGCTTTAGTGTTAATGTTCACAAGCTTTCAGGTATCACTCGCTTATGTGCCTGGCTCAGTCTAGGCCCATATGAATATGGAGAAATGTCTGAGCGAGAGGACGATGGGTTACAGGTGCTTTGACTTACTCAACTATATGGGATCCTGAGTTGCTACTGTTTGAATACAATAGGGTAGCTTAAAGCTGTTACAGTCTTGTCAGTGATAGTATGTTTTTATGATATGGTTGGCAAAAATATCAACATTGTCACTAAGGTGGAAAAGGGTGGAAAATAGCAAAGGGTAAATTTAAGCATCTCTGCTAAAACTCTTTTGATAATTTGCGATACATTTCTTTTAGTCTGATTTTCCCTGGTGTGCGATTGGCTGCAGACAGCCAGTTCAGTGATTTTCTGGATGGACTTGGTCCTGCCCAACTTGTAGGACGCCAGACATTGGCAACACCGTCTATGGGTAAGCATGCGACCTGTGATCTCAGCATAATGTTATTGGTTTGTTATCAAAACACAGAATTGGGAATCAAGTGATCTTAGTTCTAGTTCTGGCTCTGCCTTGGATTTGCCATACAATCTTGCCCCACTCAGAGCCAAATTTCCAAAAGTTGTTGAACTCTGGGTTCAACTTCTGATCAAGCTGATCAATTTCATGGATGAAGTTGGTGACTTTCAACACTCTTAAAATCAGTGTCTAGGTACCTAGCATTTGACACTGAAATACAGAGACACTGTAAATGTCTGCATTTATTAGAAAATGTAACTAGACGGTCAGTTTTGACCGTTTGTACCTTTATCTCTGTTGTCTGTTTCTCTGTCTGTAAAATGGATATTTTAATACTTGTCTACCTTTATGTAGCATTTTTCAGCCAGTATTGAAGTGCTGGTTAGTGCAAATGCATTTTCTAACTGTACTTTTAGTGGCTCTGTGCTCACAGAAGTTTATAAAGAGAAAATTGATTTACTTCCAAGAAAGATCAAATGAGCATGTATACCAGTGAAAAGTACAAGTCTTAACGTTAATTATAAAAGATTATTTAAATCCTTGTTGAAAATTTTCATTTCATGGGAAGGATGCAAATTGTCACACATTAATTACATAATAAGGTTACAAGTTATAATAGAATTGGATATTTTTCAGTTGCAATTTATGGAGACTTTCTTTTTCAGGTGATATCCAGGTAGGAATGATGGACAAAAAAGGACAGTTGGAGGTAGAAATAATACGAGCCCGTGGCCTTGTTGTAAAACCAGGTTCAAAGACACTGCCAGGTAAGAAAAAACTATCCAATTTACATGAATAGAAATACTATGCTAAAACACTAAGTTCTCTAGAAAATGTAGTGGGTTATACAGTTGTAAAAAAGTACTGAGCTGGTATTAAAGACTACAGTAAATCTAAGTGTTTATTTTCAACTCCATCTTCACAAAAATAGTGGTGATGTATTCTAGTCAATTAATAGGGACAAAAATTATTCTATAGCAAATTAAACCTGTTTTTGAAGCTATAAGTCAGGACTGTTCAACGAGTGGTGGCTTCAGTGACCCCTGAAGGGTTAGTATGCACTTTACAGGCTCTTGTCACGATTGTCACTGCCTCTCCCACCCTGGTGTTGCTTCTGCCACAACAGCTGGGTTCTTCAGGCTCTCCAACCCTCTTCTGGCTTCTATGTCCTGCCCCTGCTCTTGGCAGGTTGGGGAAGCAGTGGTGTGGCAGGAGATGGGGATGGGCTCCTCATGCTGTGCATGAGGGAGGCTGGAGCTGGGCTGCCTACGCTGTAGGGGGTTACATGGTCAAGAGGGGAAGGGGGATTCTGTATATGTGGTGGGGGTGGAAAGCTGAGTTGCTTGTCTGGCACATGCACCCAGGGGGCATGGAGCCAGGCTGCCTGGCTCTGTGCATGGTGGGGAGGGAACATGCTGGGCTGTCAGAGAGAGCCTGAGTGTGCCCCCCTGTGCCATTAGCAGCCCTTGGTCTGTGGCCTGCACCTTATGTAGCCACTAGGACTGCAGCTCACGTAGGTGTGGCCCCCGGCTGCTCAGAAGTTGGAAAGACCTGATATAAGTAATTGTGGGAGAGGAGAAAATTAACCAAATGATTGTAATAGGTCCCCACCTTGAAAAAGGTAGGAACATGCTACTTATTGTCTTCTCTTTATCAAATGTATTGTCCTACTGTGTTTGTATACAGCTGCTTATAAAAGGAACAGTATGGAAATATGTTCACCAAGCTGTCCTACCAGAATAGATGGCATTTCAGGGGCATAACTTTTCCCCTTGTACATTATTTCAAAAGAACGGTTAGGTGCTTACTTCAAAACTCAGTAAAGTCAGTGCATGCTTTCCAATAATTTATTCGTCTTTCAAATGGACCAAATGGACATGTAGTACTTTTTAGTACCATGTATGCTGAAGAATTGCCAGAATCCTTTCAGTTCAAAAAATTGAATTGTTTTATCAAATATAGATTACAAATAAGGGCGGAATGTAGAGAAGGCTGGTTATCCAAAAGATACAAACATGTTAAATGGGAATAAGTGTTAATAAATACTATGTGCAAGGCCTTGCACAGTTAATGTATTTATGTACAAAATGACAGATCTCTATAGTATTAAATATTGGAGCTAGTGTGCAAAAGTATGCATTTGCCTTTCACTTCTTCTTCTTCTTTCTCTTCCTAAGCACCATACGTAAAGGTGTATTTATTAGAAAATGGAGTCTGCATAGCCAAAAAGAAAACAAAAGTAGCAAGAAAAACGCTGGAACCTCTTTACCAGCAACTTTTGTCATTTGAAGAAAGTCCCCAAGGAAAAGTTTTACAGGTAATTTTCATGAATATTCTTGTGCATCTGAACATGTTTCACTTGTATTGTCACTGAATGAGCTCAGGACTTCTTCTGCGACTTATTCTGTGAGTCTTTCTATTTCAAACCGTTACTGAGCAAATTGCTACCATGGCAATCTGTTACTCTCTATTGATGATTTAGCCAGTAAAGAGGTGCTCTGTAAATATTAATACTATATTCAAACTAGTATATGTCACCTATACCAAATGTATGGGCTCCATTTCACAGTACACCTCAATTTTCTGCTTCCTTTTTATCCGGTTGCATGGGTTTACAGCCCGGGTTACATTTACTTCTGTACCACTATAACAGATTGAAAGCTAAATCATGTGAAAATTTATCTTCGATTAGAATTGCTTCTCTTTTAATAAGTAACTGGGTGTATCTGAAGAATTAGCTGCCTTAGATCACACTCTTTCTTATTTGATTCTGAAATCTCTATTTTCTTTACCAACAGATAATTGTTTGGGGAGACTATGGACGTATGGATCACAAATCTTTTATGGGAGTGGCACAGATACTTTTAGACGAACTGGACTTGTCCAATATGGTGATTGGGTGGTTCAAACTCTTCCCCCCTTCCTCCTTAGTAGATCCAACCTTAGCCCCTCTCACTAGAAGAGCTTCCCAATCATCTCTTGAAAGTTCAACAGGACCTTCTTATGCTCGCTCATAGCAGCTGTGAAACTGTCATAGCAACCAGCGTTACAAAAAAAAATTTACAGGTCGCAAACCCTGGTAACACTGCATGCTTAATATTGTGTCTTCTGAGCCTGTTTCTAGGGCTACAAAGCGATCCTGTGTTCTCAGAGGAAGTTGCACACATTGTGCCCTAAAGAAGGCCCTCAGGTGAAGGAGTGGAGCTATAAAGAACTAATGGGTTTGGAGTTCAGTGACGCTCAGTTTTGGTCCAATCTGAAGCCATGGATTAAACTAAAAGAATCAATCTGTTTCATGCAACAAAAGTCCCTTTCAATGGCATATCTATTTTGTTGCTCCCTTTTCTTTATTTATCTGCCCCCCCAAGCTTGGTTATGCCACAGAAATGGAATTTACCCTCCCATGAAGCCATGTTACAAGTCAGTGGAATAGTAGACATGAGAAGAACAGTGGAAGACTGTAAAGCTGCTGGAAAAGAAGAGTCAGCTGCTGTTTGGAACAGTCATTTATGACCAGAGCAAACACTTCATACTAGAAAGGTTCAAGACTTAAAGTGGCAGGCTTCATAGCTCCCGCTATTGCTACAGTGAAACCCCAGACGCAATGGACTCTAAAAAATAAAATTCTGTGGATATACTGTACTGTATGAAATTAAAGAAACTTTTTTGCATGGACACAGATTTAGCTGAACACTTAAATTATTTTCTTGGGGCTGCAACTTGCAAAAAAAAAAAAAAAAGAATAAATCAGCCATTTTCAACAATTTATATTATTTTTAAAAATAAATTTCACTAGTGCATGGTTTTAAAGGGGAGAGAATGCAACAGGGTGATACAAAGACACACCACGTTTATCATTCTTTAAACCAGTCATGGTCTGTGTTTTTGCAGACGTATATTAAAAATAAAAAATTATTTCTAGCAAATATTTAAAATTCTGTTTATGTGACAAGGAATAAGTGTAATATATTAAATTTATTTAAATGTAAAAGGTACAAGCCTTGTAAAGTTCAACATTATGTGCAAATTGTACACTTCTTTTCCCTTCTTCTTTCTCTATCTCTCCTCCCAAACTCCCTTTTCCTTTTGCTTTTTGCCCCCTTCCCGTCTCCCAGGATTATCATATTCAAAACAGCTACCTTTTGACTTACTATTCTCTTATGCCCCATTATTGGTTCAGGGTTGCAGATTATTCTGCATTCCTGAATTCTTTGAGAAAAATATTGTTTAAGAACTTACTTTTTTCAGGCATGTTGAAAAGGATTTTGCAACATGGCTTGGGAGTACATTAAAGTAATTCAGCATGTATTTGATAAAGAAAATATTTGAACTTTTTGCAATTTATTGTACAGTGCATGGTAACTTATTTTCATTTTTTCTCACCTTCAAATTGAATTCTACAGCAAAATACTGGAATCATGTGGCCATTGTAAGATGTCTTCAATAAATTTGTTTTCAGCACCAGCATTGTTCATTCAAGGGTTGAACGATCATTCTTGAAGGTTTTGGAGAGAGAAAAAAATGAACTGGAAGTCTGATTTCCATTAGCTAAATTTCAACAGTTTCATTTGCACTTAGACAAATAAATTGCTACCTATTTGGACATATAAGAAACAGCAAAGGTTGCTACTACTTATAATTCTTCCGCTGTAAAGTTCAATTTTTCATGAACGAATATTTGTGATGGCAGAGACAATTAGGGATTATCAGTCTGCCATAAAAATGTCAAACTTTCATTTGTAATCGTCTTAAAGAAATTCGAATATTAACAATTGAACAGCTATTTGACACCATCACCAAAAGCCCCAGCGCAGAGTCAACAGATCTCAAAATACTTGTCTCTAATGTAACAGGCAGTTACTACCATTGGGTGGTGCTGCATGTTCAGATTTCTCATTAACTTCTAATTAAAGGGAATGTAACTGGCTAATATTTAATGAAAACTGTCCCTCTTTTGGGTCTCTATATGCCTTTAATTCATACATAAGGTTTAATGTTGAAACCTTGCAATAATTTCTAAAATATACATAACATTTATCTTTAAATTTAGGCCATACATAACAGAATTCTTCTGATTTTGTTTCAAAATCTATTTTGCCCATTAGAAAACTGTCTGTGTCTCCTCAGAGCGCAGAAACATCAATAGATAACACTTAAAATGCCTTTTACGTTTTGGTGCAATATGATGTACATCAAGACTGTGTCTTGTCATCCTGAGATTATATAATGGATCAACGTTAAGTTAATGAACAGACTGATAAAAAATATTTATTGAAATAATTTAGATACTTATGTACCAGCAACAAATAGACGTTAAAAAACATACAGACAATATCCCCTAGATTAAAACAAAAGCTACATAACCATTCTGATACGGTGAGATGGTCACACATTCTTGTATGCATATTCCTATATAAATTATTTCTAACTTTTAAAATGAAGGATGTGACCATACAGAAGGTTTGTACATACTTGTCATTATGCAGTATTTATTTTAAAAATTAATGTAATTTTTTTTAATTTTCAGGTCTGCATCTCTACTTATGATTTAGTCATGTAAATAGCACTATTCCAGTGATCACTGCTGTCTTGTACATAGTACGTTTTAAAAGCTAAAAGGAATTACAGTTGGGGGGGAAAAATGGCAGATTAGGCCTGTAATGAACACTAACTAATGTAAATCAAATTCATTCTGGTGATGGTATTTAACACTTTAAATAAAACATTTTCTTTACAGAATGTGTACATTATGCATTGTCTCTTTCCTAAGCAGGATGATTTGCTCCATTCCTGATGTGATCTTCATGGATTATCACACTACAAAATAAAAGATCAATAAAACTATTATTATCAGGATAATGATGTCAATGAGTTGCTAGAAATAGAACTTTTCTTCTGGTTGGGCTATAGTAGCGAACTTTTAACTGTACAACTTGGATTTGGAGATTTGGCTGCCAAATTGGGCAGAATCTCCACTGAATCAAATCGGTGACCAAAGCTTCTAACAGCCCTAATAGCTATCCCTAAATATCTCAGAAAAACAGCACTCTTTTGGAGCATATCATCCTTTGACACAGGAACTAACTTGGTGGATGAAGAGAATGGAGTGGGAATAATATACTTGGACTTTTGAAAACAGTCCCACATGACATTCTCATAAGAGAACTGGGGAAACATGCACTATGTAGAATTACTGTTGGATAGATACATAAGTTGAGTAAATAATTGCAAGCAGAGTAACTATAGTTAGCTGTGTTAGAATGGCAGAATGCTTCATGAGAGTTATACAGGGATCTAGATTTCTGGGTCCAGTGCTGTTTAATATTTTAATTAATGACTTCAGTTCAAAAGGATCTTAATATTGGAGCACTTGGCACTAGATAACTGAATGGAATCCAGCAAAAATAATGGAAGTGCTGCAGCTAGGGAAGAGAAACCAAGTGCACACACTGGGAACAGAAAGTGAGTGTCTAGCTAGATCAGTAGTGCTCAGTCTCTACAGCTGGATGGGCCAGATGAATGGGGTAGGGACAGTATACAGGCCAGATGTTGTGTGCGAGGTGAATCTACAGGCCAGATCTTGCATGGGGTAAGCCCGCAGGTGCCATCTAGCACCAAGTGTGATCCCATGTGCCTGATCTGGCTGCAGCCTGGTCCCCATTTGACCACAAGCCCAACCCTGCATGGCACATGCAGGTGAAGAGCAACTATATGTCAGCGTGATCTGGTACACAGGGCTGTCATCTGGACCACAGTGCTCCTCAGAGACAGGGAAGTAGTGTAGCAGTGTTAATTGCTGAGGCTCTGAGAGCAATATGGCTACCACTGTCCCCTCTGTCAAATTTCCAGACCCATGGGGAGCTCCAATGGTCATATGACATGGCTCCATGGGCAAGAAGTTGAGCATTACTGAGATAAAACAAGGAGCCATTTGATCTGGCTGACACAGCTGCACAGCAGATTGAGGAATTGGATGGGGTGTGGGGGGAGGAAGAGGAGTGGAGAGTCCTAATGTTTCCTGGCCTATGTGGATCTTGGCCAGAAATCCCCTGAAAAGAAGTGGAGAGGTGAGATAACACTACTGACTGCTCTAAATTTGCAGTGGCAGCAATGGGGAGTTCTTATTGTGGCTTGGCTGGGATAGGAGCAGGAGAATTATCTGAATCTGCAAAGACCACTCTTCTTCTCTCCCCTGCTGCGGCACTTCCTTTTCCTCTTATCTCCCTACCACAAAGCCTAGCACAATGCTGTAACAAGGTTTGTACTGTATGTGACCCCCACCAGTGAGGCAGGAATGAAGCACTTCCCAAAGGGATTCACAGAATCACAGAAAATTAGTATTGGAAGAACCCTCAGGAGGTCTTCTAGTTCAACCCCTTGCTTAAAGCAGGACCATCTCCAACTAAATCATCCCAGCCCAGGCTTTGTTTAGCTGGGTCTTAAAAACCTTCAAGGATGGAGATTCTACCACCTGTCTGGGTAACCTGTTCCAATGTTTTATTAAGTGCTTTCATTGTTTATTCGGTGTTATATTTGCATACTGTCTTTATGAACTTGGAAACACGGTTTTTTTGGGGAAGGGGTTGTTTTGTTTTTAGATGATCCACTTTAATTGTGAGCCAGGGATTGAGAATATGTATTGTTGTAAGGAATGGTGCTGATAGCTGCCAGTATGTCTTTACGCTAAGGGTAGTAGTAGACCTCTGAAGCTGATGGGAATGCTAATGGCCTTTTTTTTTTTTTTAGCTAAATGGGGGGGAAAAGATCATTAGAACTTCTACATCTAGGCTA